GGGGGTGTCGGAAGCCCTCTTTTGGTATCCGAGCACTGTTTATTTTCCCTGTGTCCCCCCCTCCTTGAATTCCGTCGATGAAAAACCTCTCCCCTCGCCCTGCACACACGCAGGCACCCCTCCCTTCGAACAAAATGGAATGTTTTAAGGATTTCAGTGACTTTGAGATAACAAAGGCGCCACCATTGCAGAGCCTCGCCCCGCCTCTGTGTGATGGCAAACAAATTCTTGCACTTGTATTAGGGCTTTTAAGGCTATAATTGAACACGGCGCGTCTAGGAGAACCGAAAACAGTTCTAGACTGACCTGCGGTTTTATAGCACTTTGGCAGTCAACTTCAGCTTGTGTCAGAGCAGACATGACAGAGCTGCCCAGCGCTTAATCGCGGGACGCCACCTCCTCGGACTCACTGCAGCTCCCACCCACCCCCACCCCCCCAACACCGTCTACCCTTGCATGACAATAAATTTCAAAGCTTGGGGCTAGAAATGGGGAGCAGAGCTGGCACAGGTTTGTATGGGGCTCATTCCCGCTCCTCTCTGCCGCCCGGGGCCGTGGCGCCGTGCGAGGCTCCGCCGTGCCGGAGGCCGGGGCTGCCTCTGGGAAACAAAGGGAAATTAAGGCAAGAAGGGCGAGAAGGCGACTGGAAATAGGCGTGGGTGTGCGTGGGCGTGCGTGTGTCTGGGCATATGTGTGCTTGCACACGTGCAGACCCGATGCCTGCTTTTGAATCGAACTGACCTGTACCCCCAAAAAACCCCCAAGCAGCCTGTTCCTTCCAGCGGGTTTGCGAGGCAAGGGGACCCCAAAATGCCCCCCGGTTCCGCCTGCAGAACGAGCGGGGAGGGGGGAGGCTGCGAGGGGCGCAGCTCGGCCGGGAGCCGGCAGGCACCCGAGGCACAGGCTGTTCCCTGCTTTATTTGCTGTTAAGTGAAACAGAGATAATGTACGCTTAAAGCCCCGGAATGTGTGGGTAATTGCAGGGAGCCTGCTGTTAAGTTGCTGTGTTCGGCACAAATTATCAATGTTGATTATTTGGTCTAATGTCGACTTGCGCTGGTTTAATACAGTCACTGGGACTTCCGCGTTGAGGAAGGGGGAAAACCGAGCCTTCCCCCGGCTAACCTCGCCGAAAACAACATAAACAAAGGCAGGCATTTCGTTTGGAGAAGCAAAATGCATTCGTTACGCCTTCCCATGTATTTCGGGCCGGATTAGAGAGGGTAAAACCGCTCTGAATTTGGGAGCTTTGCTGCAGGACGGGTTTTTTCTTGTTTTTTCTTTTTTCTTTTTTTTTTGCAAAGGACAAGCGTGGCCAAGAGGTGGGGAGACTGAGAGCACATTTACCCATAGCTAAACTAAACAAAGCGAGGGGGGGAAAAAAAAGCTACATCTCTTCTTTGGATGAATATAAACAGAGCTAGGACGCCTCGATAGCCTAGCTTTTATATATACAGATGGCGTGCAAAGGGAACTGTTTAACTTACTACCGCTCGTCTCCAAAAGGTCAAGTTCTATAGTATCTAAATTGTTGTCTTTTTCTACCCTGCTTTGCTTGGGGAAAAAAAAAAAAAATTGAAGCCGACCGCTTACCTTGCCAATAGGGTGGGTGCCTGTAATTAACAGGAGAGACGTGTGCTAAAAGGAATTTGCGTCAAGAGGAGCTAATTAAAATATTACACGATCGCTGGCTTCAATCGCTGCTGCTCCTCTCGCATGGGAAGGGTGAGGGGTGGTAGGGCTTGAGCAGGAGAAAATATCTCAGGAATTAGGACAGTCTTTTGCAAACGTGCGGGTTGATTACAGTCTACAAAGGCTTGCTGGAAAAGAAGTAATATTAGGGAATTCGCAATGTTGTTGCCAACGAAAAGCGCAACCCCTTCCCACCTTTTCCAATGAAAATAAGGCCAGAAGGTGATAATTCTTCGCAAAATTTGCCAGGAATGCGGCTTCAGAAAAGCGTGTTTATTGTTTGGATTTTAAATATTTCGGGCTCATAACTTCTTAACTGGCATTTCTTCTTTTCTCTTTGCCCTTTTGTCCGTTATGGAAAGGAGCTATACATAGCCATCTTTTTTTTTTTTTTTCTTTTTTTTTTTTCTTAACTAAATATGTTCCCTTAGCACTGCAATAGAAAGAAGCGTTAGAATAGTTAGTTAAGATTTTTCAAATAATTTAAATGATAGGTGATTTTTGATATCGGCGAGATGGAAGCCCCGTGCTGTGATATGGGGCGGACCATTTATTGTCCAAAACCTGAAGCGTTATGGTTGTGATTTTGCTAGGAAACTGCAGAATACGTGTAAAGAGAAAGGGCAGATGTAAACAGGATTCAAGTCAAGGTTACACTGACTTTTTTTCCCCAGTATTTAATCGCATTACATTTCATACATATTTCAGAGGCTTGGACATCCCAAAAGGCTGCGCTTATCTGAGCGTAGAATATTTTAGCCTGGTTTTTAGTATCAATCGCCGAAATCCTTTCCTCCGTCAACCTCTGTGTCTTTTTGAGTCGCTGAGATAGAGAAGCTTCGGGGGGGTGGGGGGGGAGGGGGATCTGCCCGTCCTTGGCGACCAACCATGCTATTTCGCGTCCCTTTGCGCTGATCCGAGGGCTCTCTCTGAAGCCAGACCCTGACTCCCAGAGTTGCAACAAGCCGAAATATCGAGGGCTTTTTTTTTTTTTTTCGAGAGAGGAAACTCCTTCCAGACAGATAACTTCTCTTTCTGGACAACTATTCCCCTGCAGCCAAAGGACCCGTTTGTCGCGACGGGCTCCCGGCGCCTTCGCAAGGGCGGGGAGGCTCTCGCAGCGACGGGTCTC